GATGTGTATACCCCATGCATTACATTTCCATTACTTACTGGGTGTTTTTACATTGAATTTAGGAGGTGTGTTGATGTTTTTACATGGATTTTTTGATGTATGTTGATGTTTTGAAGTTTCCCTTGGTCAGGGTTTACTGCGGTTATGTGTACCTCTTGATTATCCAGCATATTAGTTCAGCCAGCACAGGTCTGGTCCCATAGGTGCTGGTTAATAAAACGTTTGTTGTATTTCCAAATTTGAGGATGATACAAAGCTTAACTGGACTGCGTGATGCGAGGAAGATGTAAAGTGACTTTAGGGGGATTTGTATAGATTTTGTGAGTGGGCAAGAACATGGCAGATGGGATATGATGTGGAAAAATATGTGGTTATCCTCTTTGGTAACAGGAGCAGATGTGTAGAGTATTTCTTAAATGGTAAGACGTTGGAAAATGTAGATGTTCGAAAGGATTTTTGTTGTTAGGTCACTGAAGGCTAACATGCAGCAGCATCAAGCTGTCACGAAGGTAAATGGAACATTAGACTTTATTCCACATGGATTTGAGCACAGGAGTAGTGAAATCTTGCTTTGGTTATGCAGAGATTGTATTGAAAGTTCACCAGACTAGTTCCCTGGATGGCAGGACTGTGCTCTCAGGAGCAATTGGGTCAACTGGGCCTGTATTCTCCAGAGTTTTGAAGAATGAGAAGTTATGACATTGAAACTTACAAAGTATCTAAAGAGATAGAGTGTACAAATGCAGATCCCCTGGTTGGGGAGTCTAGAACCAGGGGACACAATTTAAAAATAAGGGAGGAATGCCACTTAGGTCTGAAATGAGGACTTTTTTTTCTCACAAGGTTACAAACCTTCAGAATTCTCTACAACAAGTGTGTTAAAGTTCAGTCTTTGACATTTACAGGGTAGACTAATAGATTTCTGATTATCATTGGTGTTACGGTGTTATGCAGATTGAGTGGGTAAAGAGTTGGCAATGGCCTAGTGGTATTATTACTGGACTGTTAATCCAGAGACCCAGGTAATGTTCTGGGGACCTGCGTTTGAATCCTGCACAGCAGAGGGTGGAATTTGAATTCAATAAATATCTGGAATTAAGAGTCTAATGAATCAAATGCTGATTGTCAGGAAAAACCCATCTGGTTCACTAATATCCGTTAGGAAAGGAAATCTGCCATCCTTACCTGGTCTGGCCTACACGTGACTCCAGACCACGGCAATGTGGTTGACTCATAACTGCAGTCTTGGCAATCAGGAATGGGTAATAAATGCTGGCCTAGCCAGTGATACCCTCATCCTGTGAATGAATAAAAGGAAGAGTATTGATGTGTTTGATCAGCCATGATTTTATTGAATGGTGGGGCAGACTTGATGGATAACCACTGTTCCTATGTTCTTATGTTCCTAAATTAGGATTGATTGGACAAACTGCTCCCATCATGTGGTCAAGGCAGATTCTGCTGGTGTTTCTCCAGCTACTGCTGCCACTATTGATGTTACTTTTGCTCGTGTTCCACACTAGAGAGACAAGATGCAGTTGCATTAGCTGTGGAGAAAGCTGACAGCAGAGTCTTTACCATTTAAGATCAGTGAGGTGCAAATCAGATGTAGCGACTTCTAAGCTGTGACCTGTTGTATGTGAAAGTTCTCCCTGAGGAGTACTGAGAGCAACAGTGAAGAAGACCTCTTCTGGGGACATGTCTCATCTTTAGCCCGACATTCCCGTCATGCCTATGAGCAAGCATATTGTTTGCCGGTAGAAAACCTGACAAAAAACTTTTGTCCCGCACCTGCACCTTTGTGCCTTCAGATTTCCCACCTGAACGTTTTTCACTCCAACTCTCATTCCGAATATCAGAATCAATTATGTACAGTAGTTTAAGGAATTAAAATTAACCTGGACATGGGGAAGAACTCCATTACTCTTCGTTAGAATAATGCTGCAGTATTCCTTTCCGTCCAGTTAAGAGAGCAGACGGGGTCCTTAACATTTTTGCTGAAAGACAGCATTCCCACAGTGCTACACTGAACATATGAGACAACAAGGTGCAGGGCTGGATGAACACAGCAGGCCAAGCAGCATCATAGGAGCAGAGAGGCTGACGTTTCGGGCCTAGACCCTTCGTCAG